GTTTGCCATCTGCCAGCACTGCTGAAGGCACATCAGCCATGGCAAGGATGTGAGACACTTTTCCACCACAGTGATACTGCTGCATCTAAGGAGGCAGCACTCCCTTGCCCTTCTTGCTTCTCAGCCTGGCACCAGTGTAAGCGTGCCGAAAGGGAAGTCCCCTGCTCACTCCAAAGCCCCTTTCCCCACAAAGCAGAGGCAGGCCACCCTGGACCAGTGGGGGAAAGCTGCAGACAGAGGGGGGAAAGTTGCAAAGGCAAGAGAGATTACCCACACTACTGGGGAGATGTTTGCTGTGGATAGCCAGCCCTTCTCCCTAGTTATGGGGCTAGGGTTCAGGTGGCTCATAGCACTTTCTGGCCCCATCTTACAAAGTACCGGCACGCAGCACCTTTAGCAGGACAGTGGTGCCTTCCCTGTATTAGACATTCAGGGAGTACTTCAAAGAGGAGCTGTGCAAGGCAGGGCCAAAGGTAGCCTCGCACTTCACCTCCAACATCTGGAGCAGCTGAGGTGGCAATCACACCTACCTCTCCCTCACAGGGCACTGGTGCAATCAGTGAGGCTGTTGGTGGGCTCTCCTCCAAGCTGAGGTGCTGGATGAGTCCCACACGGCAAGGGCAATCATGGGGGCCATGAACCGCATGGTGCAGGGGTGGCTCATTGGGCAGGCCAAGCTCACCCACAGGTTCATGTCCACCGACAATGGGGCCAATATGGTGAAGGCTGTCCATGATGCCAACTTTGTTGGCATCCACTGTGTGGCACACAGGCTGCGCCTCGTAGTCAGGTTTGCCTTGGACGGAGACAGGGCTGCCGGTGATGACACCACCACCACTACTGCTACCAGCCAGGTGATTTTGAAATGCAGGAAGGTGGAGGGCTACTTCCACCGCAGCATCAAGGGGAGCAAGGTGCTGCAGGAGAAACAGGCAGAGCTGAGCATCCCACAGCACAAAATCATGCAGGACGTGGAGACTCAGTAGAACTCCACATACCTGATGCTTGAAAGGCTGGTGGAGCAACAGAAGACTATCCATGTGATGGCCTTGCTTGGGGAGATCGGGATCAGCAGCCCCCTGAAGAGAGCTGAGTGGGGTACCATCTCCCAGATCTTGGTGGTCCTCAAGCCCTTCCTTGAGACCACTGAGACCCTTGGCGCTGGTGATGCCCTCCTCAGCCATGTGATCCCCATAGTGAGGGAACTTGAGAACCAAATGGAGAAGTTCCATGGGATCAACGTTTCTGGCTGGGGCAAGCTGCTAACACCAGATGTGCAGGCACTGGTGAGGTGGCTGAAGGACAGCATCAGGAGATGGCTGGATCCCTTGCAGTCCAGTACGGTCAGCATGATGGCGGGTATGTGCAACTCAATGGTGAAGGGGAGTATGTGCACTGGCAGCACCAAAACCCTCGATCAAGTGCTGGATGCAAGTGCTGGTCAACAATGTCAGGGAGGCTGGCAGGTTGCAGTCAGAATTTCACTGTCTAATCTATATTGAGTCCATGAGTTTCTGTACCTAGGAGGCTGATGAAGTGAAGTTCATAGGCCCAGCTGTGAAAAGTGGTTTGCACTGTAATTTGTTCCCTCTCAGGATCAGGTCTGAGAGACTGGAGGCAGAGTGTATTTTTGG